AGTGAGGGACTCAACCAGAAAGGAGGCCGGCAGCCTACTTCACGGGGCTCACCAGGGGGTACAGATTTTTTGTTTTATTCTAAAATAAAGGAATCCTTTTGAGGATTTGTGGCAGAGAGTGAAGTTGATGAGTGAGTATTCGTTACAAGATCTCCCAGCTACTCTGAGAACTGGCTGGTCCCAACAAAAGAATAGGCATGGGAGATTGTTTTAGGGCTTGGATACCTATGTGGACTCGTGAAACAGGTGACTCAGACAGAGTTGGTGGCAGGGCAAATGGAAAGCAAGTGTTCAGGAAGCACGCTTGTTAAGATACAAATAGTCCGGCCTCCCCGTGGTGTAGATGGAATCCCACTGAAACTGGCCAACAGCCCATGGAAAACAGATGATGCAGAGACCCAGAAGTTCAGTGCCTTGCCACAATGGGAGGAAGATCATCCCACCCCTTTAAGTCTTAGGGACTTTTGTGGAAGAGGTTGGCGGAAAGAATGTAAGAGCTGGAGGAAGGGGTGGAGTGTTAACTGGAAGTGTCCTCTGACCACTATGCAGGTAAGCTATAGTCACCCTTCTTCCCACACTCATCAAGGATCCAAGGGGGAGTCACTTACCCCTCCCACCCAATCAGTCAACCTTAGCTGCATTTGGGGAGGGGGGCAAAGGATCTATAAGCTGAGAACGCCAAGAGGCACCTCTCTCACCATTTTGTCTGGCTATCGGGAAGTCACAGGTTCTGTATTTGAGTGTGGACTTTACAATGCAGCCATAAATGAGGGGTTCCCACTCTTCTGTAAATAAACTCCTACCCTGTGCTCTGTTAAAAAAATAATAATAAAATATTTTTAAATATACAAATAGGCTTTGATGATAGATATAATTGGGGTACTAAAGGAGGGTGTCAGGTGTGAAAGGTTCTGGTATGTGGCTAACTGGATGAATGATGGAGACCCTGTTGAACTGGGATAGCCTGGAAAGAGTGTTTTTAGGGTAACAGAAAGTCTTAACTCTCATGGATTTGCTTTGTGTTGGGTGCTAGACTCCTTTTAACCACTTGGTCTTCAGAATGTAGATTTCCAGGCTGTACAAATAAGAAATCTGAGATCCATGCAGGCAGTAACTTGTCCAAGGGCAAAAGTCAGGGGCCAAGCCTGTATTCAAACTCATCTCTCCCTACAGAGCCTGGTCTAGTCCGCAGTTCCCCACCACAGTCAAGTAGCACAGGGATTCGGCAAGGGTGAAACAGCTAGAGGAGAAAAGAGGACAGCCGTGCTTTCTGAATAGGCAGCCGAGGAACCTGCAGATGGGCATGCTTGCGCTGCTCCGGGCCCTTAGATAAACCACGTCCCCTCTCTGAAACTCAGTCCCCTTGCTCTGAAAATCTGTAGTTTTTGTGACCTCCTGAATGCCTCTCACACAGACTCTCCTTCCCACACTTTATCCAATATTTTATTTATTCATTTTCAGACAGGATCTCATGTAGAGCAAGATAGCCTTGAACTCGCTGTGTAGCCAAGGCTGGCCTTGACCTCCAGCCTCTGCCTCCTGAGTTCTGGGGTTGAGCATGCACCACCTCACCTGGCAACTTTATTGAATCTTTACTTTTCATCTTGAAGCCGTAAATAGGCCTTTTAGTACCAACTTTTTATCTGTCCAAATCACATACTTAGATGTTCTAAAAATGTTCAGAGAGCAACATACCCTTCTCAACTAAACCTTCAGCTATCCAAGATGAGTCTAGTTCTAGATTCCTAACTTGTTATATAAAGTTTAAAGTGTTTGCTTCTGGTTTCTCTCTTTCTGTTCATAAAGTAAGTTTTACTTACTGATAATTGTGAACAGGTGTTTAGGAACAACTCACTTTTATTGTTGTTAAATATATCTCCTTAGGACAGACCATTTAAAAATAATTCCTGAGAGTAATTTTAGTCAGTTTGAGGCAATTAGAAGCAGGCTATTTCAAGAGTATGTAAACAGCACCCCCCCTCCCCAAAGTCTGTGGATCTTCATGAGTGCAGGAGGGTTTGTTTGGATGCTATATCTCTTCGGGCTGCCTTTTCCTATGTAGATTAATGCATTCATGCATATAAAGCACATGCATACATACACAAACATGCAAGGCCCTTCATGCTTGCATGTATGCACACATAAGCACAAGGTTTAATGGTGCACAAGGTCAGGAGTCAGGGGAGGGTGATTTTATCAGACCTAGAAGACCACACAGAAAGTGGTAATTAGGCTCAAGGTTAGGTTCCATGCTGTCACATGAAGAAACAAGTTTGAAGTTTGTTTTATAAGCAATGCTCATACTTCCAGGATAGTTAAAGAGCTAGTCTCTACATTACAGAGACTGGCTTCAGCCATCACATCTCCAGGCTCACGCTGACCCAGCCTTAGCCTGGCTAATCTGAGCTCTGAGGCACAAAGACTCCTGTGTGTTTCTCTACATGACCTCTCAGGCTGTGACCTCCCAGCTCAGCCACTCTGCAAGGATACAGAGTTGGGCCACCCGCACCTTCCACTTTATCTGCCAGGTCTTTCCAATCACAAGCCAGGAATACCATGCTTTCTGCAAGAATGCCTTCTTTCACTGATTTTCAACCTCCCAGCATCCCTGTCTTTTTTTTTCCCTTTTCTTTTTCTTTTTAATTTATTTTACTTTAGTTTTGTCTTTTGGCCTGACAAATTCATATGTGGCCATCCATGGAGTACAAATTGCTTTCTGTCTTATGGTGGGACTACAGTAGAATGTCTTCCCATGGTACTGTTGGCCCGGCCCTGTGATTGATCACCTCACTGTCATGGCCACAGTTTCAGCTCGCAAGAGATGGAGTCCCAGGGTCTTTTGACTTTGATGAGGGCTTTGCAAACTACTGTGCTTTCCTGGACCACTATGAATGTCAGGAACAATTTCCCAAGTCAGGGATTGTTTACATAACATGTGTTGATGCCAATACATCTAGACACACAGTTATGCACTAACTAGGCTTATGGTATTTAAAAAGTGAATAATTGAAATTTTTATTTATTATTTTCATTTTATGTGTATGAGTATATTGCCTGCATGTGTGTAAGTGCACTCATGTTGTGTAGTGCCCATGGAGGTCAAAAGAGCATGCTGAATCCCCTGGAACTGGAGTTATGGATGGTTGTTAGCTGCCATGTGGGTGCTGGGATTTGAACCAGCATCTTCTGAAAGAACAGCCAGTGCTCCTAACCACTGAGCCATCTCTCCATCTCCAATTTGAATTTATTTATTTACTTATTTTTGGTCTTTTTGAGACAGGGTCTCCCTGTAGCCCCAGCTGTCCTGGAACTCACTATGTAGACCAGGCTGGCCTTGAACTCACAGAGATCTGCCTGCTTCTGCCTCCTGAGTGCTGGGATTAAAGGTGTGCGCCACCACGCCCAGCACCAATTTGAATTTTTAAGGCCTTTAAAACATCATTCAGTGCATGTAAATATAATACATCTTGAATATGTCAGCCCATTTCTTGATCCTGAATGTTCATTAATATGTTTAGAACTTTAGGGCCCAGCCGACTTCATGAGTTTAGACTGTAATGCTAAAGCCTGGGCCTTCATAGCCTTCCTATCTCCTCCACACCCACGTATGTCTTAGAACTCAGCAACTACTCTGTAGCTGAGGGCAGAAATGGAAATTTCCTGGGCATTGAGATTTCCCCTCTCTCTGTCCTTTCTGGTCCTACCAGTGTTTACCTGCCCCCTTTCCTGGCTGGCACATTAGCTGGATCTTCCTGGCATTTGTCAAGCATCTATGGTTGTGCCCACCATGTATAGGACACTGGGGATCCACAGGCAAACCTCTGTGTTCTGAGAGCTGGGCGAGTGACACTGGGCAATCCCATCTACTCTAGTGTCATCACTAATAGAGTTTCCAGGGCAGTTTTACAACTGTATCTGATGTATTCAGAAAAGTTTGATTGCCTCAATATTTTTTAAAACTGGTGTCATCCAGAGTTGAGCATAGCATAACGTAGAAATCTACCAACATCTGTAGCTCACGGAAAGTGTGATTCAAAGTGTAGCAGTATAAAATCAAATGTGGTGCACTGGTACAGGTGGTCAAAACCCAATATAGTTCCAGTATATAGTGTGACCTATATACTGATCAGAGTGCCTCAGAGTACATGGGCTGATGGCATCCAACCCACTTCAATTAAGGTACCTGTTAAAAATGCAGGTGGTCCCACTGTAGATATTGATTTGGAACTCAGAACCCTAGACTCTGTCTCTTCCCAAACTCATGAGTTGGGGAAACACTACTCTAGATCCAGTATCATCAGCCCTTTGAGGCATGTGGTTGGTGCTTGGGTGGAAATGTGGCACAGAAGCAGCAAGTGGATGCAGGATCTCTTCCTTGACCTTACTGCTGGTCAGTCTGGCCTCCTCTGCTAGAGGCCACCCATCTCAGTCCCCTCCCTGCTATTGACCCAGCAGCACATCACTGACACTTGTCCAGTGCGACCTGCACTTAAGGTAGGTGCCCGCAGCTCAGGTTTTCAACTCTTTCTCCAAAATCCTCTTCCTACTGGTTCTACATCTTCCTCTCCTTATTCATTGATTTCTTAAGATGATGTCTGCTTTTCTTTCTTTTAATGCAAGTAGGTATTTTTTTAAAAACTGGGGGGTTTGATGGAAATAGTAGCTAAATTTTAAATAGTCTGTGATTTCTAAGGTCAATGAAAACATGGCCTTGGTCTTTTGCTTAAAGAGGTGGAAATTGGGACACACTGGCTTGAAACTCAAGTAGGAATGAGAAGAAAAATCAAACAGGTCTCAGTGTTTTTTGTTAATATCTCTAAACGGAGGATGTGAAGCCTTGGGTTTGGGGGATTTTGTTGTTTGCGACTGGAGGAACCCCTACCCCTGTTCATATAAGAGGGTATACTATACAACTCCCACAGTAGTCCTTGGAGGGCTGGTCTGGTCTGGAGACACCATAGAGTCATATCCATAAAGACGCTGGTCTGTTCTTCCCTCAGCTTGCTGGATGCCTGCCCAGAAGCTGCTGAGCCACTGTTTGCCAAGCTGCCAACTTCAAAGATGCTGTCTTAGTTTGGGATGCTTTGACAGATACCTTAACAAGGTAATTTAAGCAGCAGAAGTTTATTCTGGGAATCCTAAGTGCTGGCACAACAGGACAGGGTGCTGCGGTCCCTTGCCTAGGGTTAATAGCCTTTGCATTTGTGCCTAGCAGAGACAGCAAGCTCTGGTCTCTTCATTCCCTTACAAGGGCATTGATCTCATTGTGGAGGCTCCAGCTAACAACCTCTCCAAGGCTTCACCTGAAAATATAGTCACATTGAAGATTAGAACTTCAACATATGCGTTAGAGGAGTAAGGACAGACACTCAGCCCATAGCAGTGCCTTTGTGGCTTCCCTGAACTTGCACCAACCAGGCAGGGTGGCCACAGCTACCTGGGATCACAGGCTAAGGCAACAAGTAATCCTGGGAAGAACCATTGGTTGTGGAGGCCTTTGCAAATTTCTAGGACCCAGGGAATGGTCTGTTTATATGTCCTAGTTGGCCCAGTGGCATGCAAGAAAAGCCCCAAGTGAAACCACATTGTGACTCCTGTTATACCGCTGTCCACTCTCTGAATCACTACACCAGGCATCATCAGAATGGTCATCATCATCATCAATGACCTTTCCACTCTCTTTCTCCTGGCCTCCTTTACTTCCTTCTGACATTCTTCTGGAGCAGCACAAGGAGTAGGGACAGAAGCGAATAGGATTGGGGGAAAGAATAAGTAGAAGTATATGGTGACTAATTTTGATTGTCAACTTTAGATTAAGAAACGCCTAGATTAGTAAAACACACCTTTGTGTGTGTGTGAGGGATGCTCACTGTATTAGTTACCTTTCTTTTGCTATGATAGAAACACCATGACAAGAGAACTTATTAAAGGAAGAGTTTATTTAGCTTATGATTCCAAAGGGGCAAGAGTCCATCATGGCAGGAAGGCCTGTAGCTGGAATAGGAGCAGAAGCTAAGCTCTCACATCTTCAAGCAGGCACAGGAAGTAGACCAGAGATCCAGCCAGGCTTAAGAACTCTCTAAGCCCACCCCAGTGACATGCTTCCTCCAGCATGACCACACCTTCTAAGACCTCCCAAAACAGTGCCACCATCTGGGGACAAAATGTTCAAGTACTTGGAGCCTGGGGGCGGGGGGGCAGACATTAAATTGACATACTTACTGTGTTAGTAACTTTTCAATTGCTGTGATTATAAAAAATGACCAAGGCAACTTATAGAAGGAAAAGTTTATTTGACTTATGGTTCCAGAGAAATAAGAGCCCATCATGGAGGGGAGGCGCGGCAGGAGGAGGCAGCCAGAGCATTAAAAAAATGACCAAGGCAACTTATAGAAGGAAGAGTTTATTTGACTTATGGTTCCAGAGGAATAAGAGCCCATCATGGAGGGGAGGCGCGGCAGGAGGAGGCAGCCAGAGCAGAAAGCTGAGCACTCACATATTCAAGTAGGTACAGGAAAGCAGAGAGAGAAACTGGAAATGGGTGAAAGCCCACCACAGAGACACACTTCCTCCAGTAAGGCCACACCTTCTAAACTTCCCAGAACAGCCACCAACTAGGGACACTGTTCAAATACTTGCAGCTTATGGGGGTTAGGGGAATTCTCATTCAAACTATCACACTGACCACATGAGTAGTTCAATCCCTTGAAGATGAATTTATAATATGATTGCAGTGTTGGGAGGTACTGAAAAGTATGAGACACAGTCTAGTTAACGGAAGCAGGTCTCTGGTGGCTTGTCTGTGGTAACTGTGCCCTGCCCTAGCCCCTTTGCTTTCTTCTCCTTCCTGTTCCCCACAAAGTGAAGAAGGTTCTCTGCCACAGGCTCCACCACCACACACTCCTGTGCTGTCATGTTCTGCCCAACCATGAAGAACCAAGCATCATGCACTGAACTCTCAGAAGCCATGAGCAAAATAAGTCCTTCCTCTTTAAGTTGGTTTCTGTCAGGAATGTTGTCACAGCCATGAGAAAAGTGACTAATACAGTTTGAGTGGGAATGTGAGCCAGTTAGCAGAATCACTTTAATCAGTCTTTTTTTTTTCTTGTCTTTTTGACACAGGGTCTCCCTGTAGCTCCAGCTGGCCTGGAACTCACTATGTAGACCAGGCTGGCCTTGAACTCACAAAGATCCGCCTGCCTTTACCTCCCAGAGTGCTGGGGTTAAAGGTGTGTGCCACCACACCTGGATTGATTAGTCTTAAAGAAATCATTTTTAGTATTACTGCATCTAGGAGTGATTGTCTCTGATTATCTTTTGAGGTACTGTGGTAAAGGAGCTACAGATCAGAGCAGTCAGAAACACGAGGCAGTGCACACAATAGCAAGGGTAAAGTCTGAATCTGAAGCTGGTGGAAATCTCTATTCGTACTCACGGCTACGCCGCTACCCGGGCCTTGTCAGTCTCCTTTGCTCAGGAAGAATTGTGAAATGACATGGAAACTGCTAGATGCTGGCAAATCATCCGTGGGGTTCAGACCATCTAGACGATAAACAGCTCCATGATATTCAGTGCAGCAGCTTCTGTAGAGCCCATCTGTTTCAAAATAACCCTAATTCTGCTTACAATGCGGATGCTTTGTTGACTGAAATTTGTCCTAGTTTTCTTCTGCAGACTTCGAGTTGTAGACCTCTGGGTCCACCTGCTGGCAGATGCAAGGACTGGAGTGGAACCCGGAGAGGATATTTTCAGCTGAAAGAAAAATCGTTCATTCTTTAAAGGCTAGGGTACATCAGATTCACAGTCACACAGGAGCTCTGTAAAATACAGTTCGTGGGCTTGCTGGCAAGCCTACCCATAAGAACCTATTTCTTAACTAAGCCCCATGACAGGTCACAGTCTCTGACCAGTGCTGATGAGCCACTTCACTGGAAAGTTAGATACTGTAGCCAGCAAAGGTTATAGATGACTCCAACCCCCCATGTATCTTGCTCATCCCCCAAGCAGGGGTAACCAGGTACAAAGCTTGATTGAAATGCCTAATTCCCCCATGTCCAACTTATCCTGGTGACTCTTAATGGCAAAGAGCAAAGCGTTATCCTCTTAGAACTCACTCAAAAAAGCATTATAGTGGAGCTGGAGAGGCAGCTTTGCAGTTACGAATGCTTGCTGCTCTTGCAGAGGACTAGAGTCCCCAGCAGCCAGGTCAGGCAGCTTACAACCACCTATACTCTAGCTTCAAGGGATATGACACCCTCTTTTGTCCTCCACAGACACATGCACACGTGTGCATAGTCACACACAGAACACTATATGTTTTAAAATCTTAAAACATATAGTGGAGAGATTTGGGGAAAACACTACTTAACCACGTTACTCATGGTAGACTTCACCAGTGGCCCATCCTGTTGATAGCATGTGACCCTAATGTGAGATGAGGGGTGCACCCTTTCCGCGGCATTTTTTTCTTTCCTTTTTTTTTTTTGTCAAAACTCATAACCTTGTTCTGATCGTGGGGCCATCAGACAAACCTAACTGAGGAACTTCTACTGGATATCTGAACAGAAACAAGAAATGACTAAGAAACTTCCACAAACCAAAAGAGATTAGGTTGGGCTGTTGGGCTCTCTTAGATTGGATTGTAAGACAAAAAATGGTAAAATTGGCAAAATGCAAATAAAATCTAGAACTGAGTTCTTAACAGTAAGCCGAGGGCTGTTTTTTAGTGTTGACCAATTTACCGTAGTAATGTAAGGTGTTAACATGAGTATTGAATTTTCTATTACCTTTGCAACTTTTCTATATATCTAAAACTACTCTAAAAATCTTTTAAAAACTTAAAGGAATTTCAGGTGTTTGTGGGGCAGGTGGCACTGATGAGACCATATGAGTTGGAGGACACTGCCAAGGTGCACACCATGGCGGTTCCCTAACTGCCAACAGTCAGGCAACACCTTGCTTAGTTGCTATCCCCTTGGCAGGATGCAGATGGCACACGTTTGCCCTCTCCAGGGAGGCCTGCCGGCCCTCGTGCCTCACTAGGAGCCAGTCAGGAGCACATGAACCACAGTGTGGAGGTGTCCCAGGTCTGGTCCCCACCCCTTCAGTTACAGATGAGGAGCCAGAAGTCCAAAGAGGAGTGACTTGATGACCTGGTGGAGCCATGATGGGCCCTGGTGAGGTGTGTTCTTTCCCAGCATTTCTGGGTGATTTTATGTATCATCTTCATCCAGATCACCGGTTCTAATTGAAATGAAGCTTCCTGGGCTCTGGGCTTCACTTACTGTGTGAGAATCTCTGGTGGTAAGAATCTGTTGGTCTGTGTTTGTAGCAAGTTCCCCATTGTGCACACAAGGTGGAGGAGCACTGCAGCAGCCTGGGCAGCCCTCCAGCCATGACATTTTGACAACCGTATAGCTTTGTGCAGACCTCATGCATTGGAGCTGTTGAAGTTCTGACTCAGCCCTCACTGACCAACGGGTTGCTGTTCAATAAAAAGCACTGTGCCTGGGACCAGGGATGCCAAAGGCCAGGAAGGCAGGCGTTCCACCACCACCATCCTTTGAAGATGGATGAAGGATGTAGCAGGCAGCAGTACCAGTTCCCTGACTCAGAGGAGATGATGGATTTTATCTTCTTGAGCTCATTTTCTAATACTTTAAATACCTCCCACTCCCCTTTCCCTTTTTAACTGAGGGAACATTACAACCCTGAGATTAGGATAGATAGGTGAGAATGGGCCTCCCATCTGGGCTCTGAGGAGGCACTAGATATTCCTGTTGCCCTCCTCCATTACATCTGAGACCCACTTTCAAAAAAAACAGGTTTAAAGAGACAGTGGAGACAGTGGCGGGTCCCTCTGCTCCAGCTCTGAGGGTCCAGAGGCCTGACACGTGCGGAGCAGGCAGCAGAAACTGGAGCTGCAGAACTTGAGCAAAAAGCCCATCAGGCTGGGGAGAGCAGCCGTGCTCACTCTGCCTATCCCTGTCTGCTGTGGCCTCTCCCCCTGGACCATGAGGCTGGGCCTGACTGGCCACCCTAACCTAGCAGCTTCTAAGAGGGAGTTTTGTGTTCTAAAGGGCTTTTATCCCTTTTCTAGAATTT